ATATATATATATATATAAACTATTCTGGTATAGGGTCAGCAGAGGAACCTACTGAAAAGTTAACCACAAAGTTAAAGGACTGTATAAGATTTAAAACTCCTGAGCCAAGGGCTTTTCAGGACAACACACGAACATTAAAATTCCAGATAATTAAAACCTGGTCATATCTGAGAAAAAGTCTAGCTAAAAAGTCAGAGGGTTCATAAAATCTTTGTTGTACTTCTGTGGTCTGTAGATGGGTCGACCCAGCTCAAAAAGAAGCAGTTCAAAGCTGGAATAAAGCGCTAGTACTTGAAGCTGTTTTCAGTTCAAATTTTCTTAAAAACAGTCAAGATTCCTCCACCTCTACCAGATATTCTTGGAGCATTAAACACAAAGCAAAAGGCGGAAAAGCAAGAGCAGAAGGCAAAAAGTTCTGAAAAGACACTGAACTCACCAGTGTGCAGTCAGGTCTAAAGAGAAAGTCAAATCTGCTGGAACAGAAAAAGTCATTTAAGATAAAAGTGTTATTAGCTAGGGACCTGGCATTGTGCAGGGCCATCCTTTGTAGGAATCACAGCTTGTGGAGAAGATGACAGCAGAGCCCAAATCAGTGGTCTCAAATTTAAAGAATTTGTCCTGTGACTCGCAAGACAGGAAAAACAGCGGCAAACAGGCACACTGTAAGAACCGGACCCCACCAATAGAACCAGACAAGGCATGACAGGATCCACAAAGCACCAGGTCAGGCAATGGACCAGTTGATGATCAGCTGAAGGAGACATTGTAAAAAGTGCAAGGCAGGCTTTAAGCTTCACCAGCCGCACGCCGTCTGAGGCATTGTCTCCAGGCAGGCAGGTGTGCAATGTGGAGCAGGTACACAGATACATCAGCCAGGAGAGGAGGATGCCCAGTGCTCTGTTCATTGTGATCAAAATATGTGACCTTGGTGGCACATGATCGAAGATCTAAAAGTGATTGACGTTCATATACCAGTATCGAGTTGATGTCACTGATGAGAAGGGACAGAAACAGAACACAAACATGGCAGAGGCAGACGTCAAACCATGTACACCATACCATCTTGGTCTGTGCAGTGTGGGGGAAAACATTCTAAAATAAATAATTAATCTATTTAAATCTTGACCTTTAATTTTGAATAGTATAATTAAGTGGAACACCATGTTGTCAGTTTGCTGTCCTTAGCAGTGTTTGTGTCATTGTCTAATCTACAGGAGAAGTAGGAATTTACTAGTTGAGAGGCTTTGAGTTGTCTAAACATGCATGCAACTCTGCTTAGTTGGTGTGTGTAGAATCCTGTCATACTTGTTGCATAAATGACATTGAACTTTCCTGTTTAGTCTACAAAGTGTACACTCCAAAGCAGAATGTAGTTTATCAAAGCCCAAAAGCTTCTTTTTTTTTTTTTGCATTGTTTGTCATAAAGCTTAAAGTTTTGACAACATTTAGCTCTTTTGCAACTGTACAAAGTTGCACATTAATAGAATAAAAATGTTTGGAGTTTCAATCATAGTTTTAGGTATCTTTGTTTTCCTGTGCTCATTTTTATCCTATCCACAGTATTGCTTCTGAAATTTCCAAATGATTTCGCTGTCCTGCAAATCAACTCTGTTAATTTGTTGAAGCTTTTAAAATTTTAATTTGTTGAATCCTTTTATTTTCTTGTGCAATTCGAGACTGTTCTGCAATGAAGTTTGACTAGTTCAACTAGTTCAAAACAGAGCTGTTCCAGTTTGTATGCATACACTGACTTTTGATACTTCAGAGTTTAAGTAAGTTCAACATGCATAAGTTAATAGCCTTCATGTAGGATTACGAGGGCCTGACAATTAAAATGTATTTCTGATCACTTGTCAGACATTTCCAAAATCTTCTAAACTAATGCTTTACATTTTTGAGCTCTTTAATTTTTAATCAAATGTATATCTGAAGGACTGGGACATTGTGTCAATCTGTCTATGCACGTGCACTTAGTTTCCTAAGCTTATAGATATGGACTTTTTGAACAAAGCAAATTATAGACTGTTGTAATTCTGCAAATTAACATGTTGCGGTGAAAAGCTGGATTCCACAGATCATTCTGTTAGATTTCATTTCACTTTGATTCAAGTTGAATGGATAATTTCACACCGATGCCTTGAATTTTATTATTCTTGTTGCTTTTGAAATTATTTTAGTGAGCACTGCCAAAAATGTATTAAACTATTACACATATCTGTTAAAAGAAACCGACAGTATCAAGAAATGAAGAGCTTGCCAACACATGCAGTACTGCCAGCTGGTCTGGTGTAAACATGTTTACTTCCTCTGTTTGCACATACCCATCAGTCAGTCTCAGTTTTACAGCTTTAAGTTTTATTTTTTTCAGGTGTTACATGGTTAAATGGACATCAAAGCCATGTAAAGGTGAACTAATATGTTTGTGTTGCAACATGTGATGCTACTTAAACATGTGGTAGTTCAATATGAGAGCTGTAAATTCTTTCTCGTGGCACTTCTGTGAACTTTTTCATATCAGGGACAATTACATTTATGGTGTCCTCAGGTTCATTTCAGCTTAAAGGTAATTTGTAATCAGAGCACAGTTCATTAATACATTTTTTAGTCTTTGCCCTGCATCAGCAGTGAAATGTCTGTGTGCTGGGATGAACTTGTTCACATATAAGGCATTTATACTGTATTATTTCTAGGGATGGGGCCGATCCGATCCAGTATCGGTATCGGCCTCCGATACCAGCATAATTTACGTATCGGATTTTTCCGATCCACCTGCCGATATTTCCGATCCATGATGCATGTTGGCTTCAAACTATGGAATGGATTTCCTGAAAGGCGGCTTGTCTCATGAATCCAGAGTAATAAGACCGCCTCATATTTAGGAAATCCATTTCATAGTTTGCAGCCAGCTACAACATGAGGACTGAGTTAGCAGCACTGTGGCTAACAGCTAACCAACTTTTCATCTAAATATGTCCGCTGTGTGGAAGTATTTTACACTAAACACCACAAGACAGCATCGTGCAATGTCTACAGAGCCATAGCGCCACATTAAACCACGGTAAAGTTAGTTTTACGATGGACATTCGAGCTCCGTGGCTTCAGCACGGTACTACTCTTTGCTCAACCCACAACAGGCAACTCGACCCTGGCCACCCGCGTCCAATCTGCCCCGCTCAGTCTGCCCATCTCTGAGGAGGGACAGACTGGGCGCGGCTGACTGAAATCAGGCTGCCTGCTTCGGATTGAACAAGAAGAAGACATCGCTGAAACCATGGAGCTCTAATGTTTACAGAGAAGTTGCTAGACTTCATCATAATTAATGACCAACCACTGTCAGTTGTAGAAAACAAAAGATTTCTCAGCTTGATACTTGCAGTCAAGATATAGTTTACCCTCCAGGAGATATTTATTAGTACAACAGTAGACAATCATAAAAAAACACATGATTTGAAAATTATATTAAAAACAAAACAGCTACATTATAAAGTGATGTAAAATACTAAAAACAGGAACATGTCTGTTGGTTTATGCCATGAACTTAGCAGATGCTTGAAGCCATTTAACATTTTATTGTATTTTATTTTATTCATTCATTTAAAAGATACAAAATTTAAAAGAAAATCATCAAAAAGAAAACATTGAATGAAAAGAGTGCAGAAAGAAGAAAAATAATTCTTATATCTGCCCCTTATTTAAAAAAATATAAAATAACTTTAAACAATCACTTAATTTAATCACTTTAATATCCACTTTAAAACTAGGAATAAAAATAAACATGTTTTGTCCTGATGCATGCTCAATAATCCAGGTAGAAAACATGTTTTGTGTTAGCAGAATTTAATTCTAACTTTAAAACTTATCCAACATTAATAAAACTTACCTCAAGTTGCCTTTTTGGACATGCATGCATATATTTGTACAAATTGTACTTGAGAGGAGATTATTACAGCCTCATATAAAATCAATGATGATCATGATGTCGTAACTGGATCGATATCGGCCGATATTTAGATTTAGTTTTCGAGATCGGATCGGAAGTAAAAAAAAGTGGATCGGTGCATCCCTAATTATTTCTTTATTCTAATATAAGAAAAAATATTTCTTCAAGTTTAATTGCATAATTAGATGTTTCAAACAAGTAAATCAACTTTGACCTATTTTTCTTTTGACTCTGCTCTTTGTTTTATTTGTGACCAAATAACTGTCAACTATTCACTGATTTATGGTAATCATGGTTTTAGAAAACATTGATTTGGGAGCGACATTATTTTTTGGTTTAGGTATATTAGTTGCGTATTGACAAGGTTTGGTCTATATTAAGTATTTCTATACATTGAACCCTTATCTAAAACTGCCTTTCATACTGTCTTCTGTATAAGGCCGTTTAAGGGCTTTCAATCAATTCTTTATTATAATTTCTTTAAAGATCTACCGGCAACATTTTTTTTCCTAACCTTCTCTCTTACTGCTAGCATGAGTTTTGTAATGCATGCATTAGTGCATGCTTATACATCATGGAGCGTATGTATCACTGTGTTCAGTACACATTTTGTACAATGTTAAACTTTAAATACAACAGTCCCAAGGAGGTCATGGACCTATAGGAGGGGCTTGGTAGTGGGGGGATTTTGGGTGTTTTCTTCAGTAACAGTGAATTAGTAACGTGAACACGTGCAGACATTTATTTATTATATGCGATGAGCTTCATTAAGGGGCCAGTGGTCCCATTGGAGGGGCAGGGCCCCTATCATTGGATAATGTTAGGGAAAACTCTGGGTTTAGATCAAACAAACATTGACAATATTGATATGATCTGTTTTCTTCAATGGTTGTATTTATACAAATCAGTTTGTCTGATAGTTTGAAGAATAAAATTTTGTAAGTTTTCAGTGATGGAAAGAAAACATCAGTAACCTGGTGCTGTTTTGGGGAAAATGTCAAATTTTCAATTTAATCAGGAAAATATACAACTAACATGTTTCATAAAGCACTAAGGCTGAAAGGTCTATCTTCAGAATATCAAGAGAAATTTTAACTGTGAATATTTTTTGACACACTTCTTTAAACTACACCTGTTTCCAACTGACCGAAGGAAAACGTGTTTCTGCATTTTATAAAGGTTCAAAACTAATTTGTGTTATCCCTTGCTAATTAAAGAATAACTTATCCCAGAGGAAGAGTTGATTAACTGATTAGATTTTTTTTAATTTGACAAACTTTTCCTAGATTTTTTAAAATTTTTTATTAATTACCTGAACAGACTAAACTGAATAAAAGACAGGCATATGTGTAAATAGCACATTATTATGATGGAGATGCTTTTTATGACGGTGTTGCTTTTTTCAGTACAACATTGGAAGAATTCCAAAGTTGACTAAAATTGTTTCTCTAACTTAGATAGAAAATGTTACTTTTGGAGTAACTTTACTCTTGGAACTATTCATAGGAAGCTGTGAATAAACTGAGGATCAATAATATTTAATATTTTAACTCATATATGTACATTAGAGTATATTTTCTTGTACAGCTTTTTTTACCGTGGATGTACTAATTTTCTTGTTTGACTTGTACATTGAAGTAAGTGTCATGTAATGTACAATGTACTGGCACATATTTATGTAGTAATGCAAAGGTTAAAAAAAACCTCTAGCTCCATTTCATTTCAGTATGACAGGTTCAGAGTGAAGGTTTACCTTAACCCCTCATTGTTGACTACAAAGACTGTTACCTGTTGGGTCAAATAAGAGCAAGCATCCAAATTAAACGGTTCATAATTAGGTGCTGGACTTGAGTGCTACAAAGAAGAGCCAAGGCCAGCCCATTTTATTTTTTATTTTTGTATGTGTATTCAATGGAGTGAAAGCACCTTGATCGCCCTGTCACTTGTATTTAATGCTCTAATTCAAAGGGAAAATGTGGTGTAAAATTAAACAGGGTATTAGCTGTCAGCGTGTTTTCATTAGAGGCAAACAGAATTAAAAGAGACGGTGAGAGACAGCCAGGGAGCAGCAACAGGCAGCTAAACCTCCCAGCTCTTTTAATGTGCTGATGAGTCATCCCTCTTTTAACCTCTTTTAGAAAGTATGTTACCATTGGTTATATTTTAGTAAAACATGTAACTAATGATGTAGATTTATTTTAAGTTTTAGAGGCATCATGGGAATGAACGGTTTACTCAGAAGTACATAAAAGGCAAAAACATGCTAATGTCACTTCAGGTCAAAAGTGAAATGCTGCTTTCACATAGGATGCAGCAGGAACTTTCTGCTGGCATGAGGCGCAGAGCAAGAGAGGAGAACGGGCAGTGAAAATTGTATTAAAGTTAGCGTTAGGTGCTCCTTATCAAAAAAGGAAAAAGAATTAACTTTTTTTTCAGCTGCAGACTAAAATGCAGGATCTTTCTGTAAAGCTGTGAGAGGAAAGTCCTGACATGGGGGAGGTGGAGACGAGCAGCAGCAGGTGCAGGTTCACAATGTCCCTAGAACAAGAAAGGAGCTTTGACTGTTGAAGCTTGTTCAAGAACTGAATGTGTACAGTGGCTTCTTCCAGGCCTGTTTCAAACATTGTTGGAAGCAGTTTAATAGCTCGTTATCATGCTAGTGAAGAACACACTGAAACAAAAAAAAAAAGGTTAACCAACTTTGATTTAATTACACTAAAAAAACGTAAGCAGGGCCTACACTAACTCAAATATGGCTGTAGATGTATGGTAAATTTTTACTTATTGGGTGTGTTGAGATGTTACAGACTCCAGCACCCATGTTGAACTTGTTTTAACCAGTATTGCACAAGTGAATGGCATGCAGAAGCCATCCTTCTGTTGGGGACATGAATGGATTTAGAAGCAGAGTGAAGGAACTGCATTTTTTGTAAAAGTAGCTCTATGTTAAAAATGTCTTATTTGATAAGTATGACTTTTAAGGAATGTTTCAAAATGGCTCAAGCAGTATTATATACCTAGAAAAACAAAACGGCTGCCTGTTTTTAAGCAATAGTAAATTATTGTATTTCTCTATAATAAATAAATCACTTACTACCACCAACATTTATGCTGAAGAATAAGGTTTGATAGTTGGATAGATTTTTGATTTATCAAAGGGAAACATATTCCCTTGAATCAGGTGTGCTGGAACAGAGAAACATCTAAAATGTGCAGGACAAGTTGCCCCAAAGACCAGACTTGGATGGATGCTGGTGTAGATTGTGCCACATGATTTAATGACATGACTTATTGATTGGCATGCATATTATAATTACAATAAGAATCAGAAAAGGTCTGAAATTAACCTTAAACTAATGGTTTTATGTGTTGAAGTATCTGTTTATTTAGCAAGAGCTCATAGATTAGTCAAGTATAAGCTAACACATTTGCAGTTGTAATAAAAAAAAGCCATGCTCAGTATTTTATTTATTTATTCACCTATACTTTGAGACACTCTGAGTTTTTATTTTTAATCACGTTGTCTTTACAAAGCAAAACTTTGGGTTGTTGGAGTGATTGGAAGTCAGTGCAAACAATGAAAAGTGTGTCCAAAAATGAAATGCTTTGGGGATTTCAGATTTCTGATGCTCATGTTGGGTAACTACAAATCAGATTTAGGTTAGATTCACAAGTAAGAAACACATTTAAGATCAAAAGGGAGGGAGGGAGGGATGGATGGATGTTAAATACTTCAGAAGTCATTGTTGGGCATGTCCCAGTGGTAATGAATTACCACAGGAAGTCTTGTCAGCTCTCTTTTAAGACTATGGTAGTTGTTATTCTCTTGCAAATCTGTGCATACTTATTGCTGTAAAATGATCATTGCAGAAGCCAGTCTTTGTGGTTCTCTGTGTATTTGCAGTTATTTTAATACAATGTATGCATGCATAATTTACAAAAACAGTACAAGCTCTAAAATGTAAACTACTAAGTCATACCAAGTTCAAGTCATAATTCTTCAAATTTTATATCACAAGCTGTTTTACAAGTTCAGAAATCTGCACTTTCCTGAATTGGGTGGTTTAGCTACTAAAATATGTGGCACAAGGCTGCACTGTATTGTTTGAAAAATGTTAATGTACTCTAGTTTTATATTCCAGAGCTATAAGGGAGGCTTGTTACACTTGGCATGATACTGACATCAAGCCATATTTTTAGGCCCGTCAGAAAACCTTGAACAAAAAGATGAACAGTTGAAAGGATCTTTCTACACAATTAAATGCTAATTATATAAGTCTGTGCTGTCAGTATTTTTTATTTTATATTTAATGAGTAACAGTTTAACATTTCTTGACACGTTGTCATTGTAAGAGTTAGGATATTTTGACATTTCTTTACAAACTGTATAAAATGACTTGTTTTGTTTTTCACAGAAGAGTGGTGAATTCTCGATTGTTTACGCACACTTAGTCTTATGTATATATTTAAAATTGCATATGTAATCTGTGTGTCTGCCCAATCCTTTGTCTGACACAGCTGTATCTTGTGCAGCTTTTGTTTCTCAGTCATATCTCAACTCTTTCGTAGCCTCAGTCATTTCAGTAATCATCATCGGCCACAACCCACCCCCATCTGCCTGTCAGTAGCAGTTTCATAGTCACTCCTCCCATGGTCCCAATTCTACTCCACCTCATCTCTTCCACCCTCTCTCTCACACACACAGACCTCCATCCAGTCTGTACAGGCACCCACACACATTCGGCATGAATAGGACTAAAAACCTGTCATCTATCATCAAATGTTTGAAGTCTTATTTGAATATATAATTGTACTTTGAATGTGGAGGCATTTCAATGAGTTGTTCCAGAAAGCTTTCTGAGCACATGGATGAATGGTTCATGGGCCAAGCAGACGTTTAATGTGTCAGAGGTTGAGGCTGTAAAGGAACTGCAGAGCACAAAATCACCTGCGAGCTTAAATCTGATTCAGCCTTTTAGTCACTTGATCGTGTCATTGAAAAAGCAGATGCAGGATTACATCTGACCTTTCTGGACCTCTGCAGTCTCTGTTTTGCCTGAAAGAGTGAAAATGTTTTACGAGCCCCACAGAACATGTCATTGTTGTCGTGCATTGTCTCTGTCACAAGGTCCTGTTAGAAATGCTCATTCATTTTGGAAATTAGGCTGACATCCAGTGTGGAGTACAGCTCACTGACAGTTTTTGTGGAGAAAAACGTGCAGTAACTTATCAGAGCTCATATTGTGTAATTAATTAATTTATTCATTCATTCAGTTGTAATTTGATATTTGTCATATAATTAAATTTGATAAAGACTGTAGAATTACAGTGTATTTTTCTTTTTTTTTTCTTGTTCTTGCAGGTCTAAGTGGACAGCCAGCTGACCTCGAGAAACGGAAAACAGTGTTTGGGCAAAACTTTATCCCACCCAAAAAACCCAAAACCTTCTTGCAGTTAGTGTGGGAAGCACTACAGGACGTCACACTCATTATCCTTGAAGTGGCAGCCGTAATTTCACTAGGCCTTTCTTTTTATAGACCACCAGATGCCGAAAGAGATCGTAAGAAACTAAATATGAATATTTCTTCATCCTTTTTGTGATTTTTTTTTTTATTTATTTTTATTTTTACATTTGCATTTACAGTATAGTACATATATCTTTGACATGGTGTTTTGTTATAGTATTATGCAACATGTCATGACGATTTTGAGACATTCGCCAGTGATTTTTAAGTCTTACTGTATGGCCTATCCCTTTATAGATTGTGGAAAAGCTGCTGGTGGTGTGGAGGATGAAAATGAATCGGAAGCTGGCTGGATCGAGGGTGCCGCCATTCTTCTGTCTGTTATCTGTGTCGTGCTGGTGACGGCATTCAATGACTGGAGTAAAGAGAAGCAGTTTAGGGGTCTCCAGAGCCGCATTGAGCAAGAACAGAGATTTTCTGTTGTCCGTGGAGGACAAGTTATTCAAATTCCAGTAGCTGAGATTGTGGTTGGCGACATAGCACAAATAAAATACGGTAAGTTGAAATTATTTTTTGCATTCTTTGCATAACCTAAAATGAATGTTTGCTTTATAGATAAAGCTAGAAAAGAAATCTGTTTGGATTTTGTTGTTGTTTGTCTAAGCCAAAGGAAAGAAACCTGAATAAAAGAAGGGTAATTAATGCTATAACTAAAACAAAATTACTTGAGACAGAGATATGTTTGTGTATTTAGGTGACCTCTTACCGGCTGATGGAGTTCTTATACAAGGGAATGATCTAAAAATCGACGAGAGCTCACTCACAGGGGAGTCTGACCATGTGAAGAAAAACCTAGAAAAAGATCCAATGCTGTTATCAGGTAACTTTAAGTCTAAAATTGATAAATATTAAAAGTTTTTGCCCCTTGTAATTTCATTGTAAGTTGCAATATTTAAAAAAACAAATGTAAATAATATTTAATGTGGTGGTTTGAGATGCAGAAATGTCTCAAACTAGCAACTGTCTTATCCAAATGTCTTTAATTAAATAATATGCAATACTTTGACACCAAGATCTGCAAAGCTTGTTGGGTTATTTTAATATTATGTCAGTATTTTACGCACTACTATGAAGACTTGCTGTATTCAAGTTTGGTCATTTTATTCAGGCAAGGAAGACCACAGAACGTTCATGGATGCAGTGAAGGAGGATATGCAGAGGGTTGGTGTGACAGAAGAAGGCTAGGGATAGGGTGAGATGAAGGCAGATGATTTCTTGTGGTGACCCCTAATGAAAACAGCCAAAAGAATAAGATGATGATTTTAAAATGAATAATATTTCAATTTTTTTTTTTTTTCTTTTCATTTTATAGCATAAATATATTTCAAAATAACACCAGGATTTAAAGTGCTCATATTGTAAAAGAGTGGTTTAGGGACTATGAACCATGGTTTTCACACATAGAATAACCACTGCTGAGTTCAGACTATTAACGGCATAGAGAAATTTTAAATGTGCCAAAGAAGACATTACGTAGCTCTCCCATATTAATGTAGCTCTGCCAGCTCCAACTCAACCATTGTCTTGGGTAAAATTGTTGTAAATCTAACAAACGTCATTACTGTGACACTTCTCAAAATGATAAGTTGGCAACTGTGTGCTGTAATCAAAGTTAAAGATGTTCCACTACTATTATAGTGAGGGAACATTTTGTGGCCAGGCCGTGTATGTTCTGCTGTTAGGTTATCTCTGATTTCAGTAGGAATTGGTGTTCTTGTCATCTTATAGATGAAAAATATTTTGTGTAGTTCGTCTATCTCGCGTGTGTCTGTGTGTGTGCGTGCGTGCGTGTGTCTGTGTGTGTGCGTGCGTGTGTCTGTGTGTGTGTATGTATTCAACTTTCCAGAAGTCTGTTTTAAGTACAGGCCATATCTTTTTTAAACAAAAGTAAGAAAACCGTCTTTAAGTAGCACAGTAAAAAAAATGTTTTCCACTTTTTTTTCATGATTTCTTTTATCAGACCATGATTGTTGCTTCTGTTTTCCTCTGTTGTGTATTTATTATTTAAATATATTGTCAAGAGTTGGCCTAAGTGGAATGGAGAGCTGGAGCTGCAGCAGTGTCATTACTTCTCAGCGTTTCTTGCAATAAATCTCCAAGAATAAAAATAGGCCTTTGATTAAAGACAGTTGATTAAAGGTTTGGTGGGTCTATGCATTAGTGACTGTTTCTTTCTTCCTTTCACTGCATCATTATTTGTATTTATTGCTTCTTTCTGAGAACTTGCTCTTTTTTTTTTCTCTCGTGTGTAGCTTAACACACCACTTTAAAGCCTCATTAAACTACCGTTTGTATATAAAAAAAAATCTAGCTCTGATTTTTCATCTACATTAAAAGAAAAGCAATTAATCAAGTGTATATTTTGTTTCAGTGTCTGTACAAAATTACAATGCAAGCTGGAAACGGTGAAATCTAGTATGCCATTTAACTAGGAGCTGTTTTAACACTTTATTCTTTTATTTATGTTTTATTTCCCTCCTGTTTTAATAGGCACCCATGTAATGGAAGGCTCAGGGAAAATGTTGGTCACTGCTGTGGGTGTCAACTCACAAACTGGAATTATCTTCACTTTACTCGGGGCTGGGGAAGATGACGACGACGATGAAGAGGAAAAGAAAAAGGAGAAAGAGGAGAAGAAAAAGCAGAAAAAAAGTTAGTATGTTCACTAGATATGTTTTATCAGTTTTCCATTTTCATACGTTACATTTAAGTACCTTAAATGTATTTATTAAATGGCAACCCATGTTTGTGTTATGTATGAGTGATCACTTTAGTAGCACTGAAGTGGCATTGAATAGTTGTTTTCTGTTTAACAAAATGAACAGGCAATATTGAAGTTTTTGAATTGCAGCAGAAATGTCTATTTTGTCTGACTGTCCTCATTCAGCTGCTTTCATCCATCTTGTTTAATACAGTGTACGCCACATTCAAAGAACATTATTGCTCTCTTTCAGTATTTAGCTTTATGTGCTCGCACTTTTTTTTACATCAAGCGAAGGCAATTAAATAATTTCCTTGGATAAAATATTAGATTCTTGAGTGTCCATCTATGCTATTAACATCAGTGCATTTAAATACTCACAAATAAGAGCCCAATTGGATATTTATTGTTCATATAACACAACTGTTCAGTAAGTTTAGTTGTAGAAAATTTTCATTTTCAGCAGTTTCTAACCATATCTAGCATATTTTAGACAGGCACTGTCAATGGCAAACATTGTGCAGGCAACATGGCTCTGTCACTTTCAAGGCATGTTTTTCAGGAGGCTGTAAGGAATGATATTACATTTGAATTATTTTTACTAGACCCTTAACAGATAAGATTTCATTTATTTTTGAAGTCTCGTGTCTAAGGACCATAAGATTTCATTATATTCTAAACTTTTTAACTTGCTAACTTTTTTAGAAGTGTAGTTTGTAGCTTATTGTTGACCAAGTTGACATACCGGTAATTTTATCATAATTGGTTTGTAATAATAAACATTTGTTTTTTGTATGTGTAGACAAAAAGCAAGACGGATCGGTGGAGAATCGTAAAAAAGGTAAGTTTTGAGCACTTGTGGATACACAACTACATAGAATTTGCCTTGGTGTCTACCTTTAATGTCTTTAGTGTAATCTTCACAATTCACTGTTGCTGAAAGTTAATCAATGCCACTATATGTTATGTGGTTTTTAGTAAAGTTATTGGTGAGACCCTTATTATTTATAATCGTATGTCAGTTTATACTTTACATGAGTTGTTCTTAGCTGTCCAGTGTACTGTCTGGCTCTTTTGTGTCTTTCCTCTTTTCTCGTCCTTGTCTGGCACATTGTGCTTTGAGCAGCAGGTGCTATTGAATCCAGTTATAGCGATTAGTGATGAGGAGATTAAAGCCATGCAACAATTTTGAGGCCAGAACATCTGCTTTCCCACCCATCTCTCTTTGACTCACCCTCAGGTCCCCATAGTTTGATTTTCTCTTGATGTCACAAGCTAAACTATTCACAGTTAAACTCTAAAATATGCACAGGTGCTGGTTCAGACTGATGACGCTCTTAATGAGGCTTTTTAGTGCTAATTCAGCCAGCTACCCAGACTTGCAATCCAGCTGGGATTTTATGATCAGTGGTGCTTCAGTCTGTGACCACAACCCTGGCGCTGGTCCCTAGTGCACAGATTCCCTCTGCCTGCCTGGAATCAACAATAATCCTTTAGACTGAGATTACAGCAACTGTGTAAGTGCAGAGGAAGCTGCAGTCCACAGCAGCTTCAGTAGCCCAGTACTCAATGCAATGCCATACTATTAAACATAGCATGGTACAAAACTAGTCCCTATATAAAATATATTCCATTATTATTTTTATTTTTATTTTATTTACAAGGTTATATTTTATAACCTTTTTTGGGGTAATATGCATTAACATCCTAGAAAATTACTTGATCAAAAAAAATCTACTTTTGACTGATGAAATGTAAAATATTTTCCAAAATTTTGATGTCCACTTTTGTTAGCATTTATTGCAGTAAGTAATCATTTCCCTGCTCTTTTTATCTGACTTACAACCTCATATACTCAACAAAAATATAAACGCAGCACTTTTGTTTTTGCTGCCATTTTTCATGAACGGAACTCATAGATCTTAGACTCTTTCTATGTATGCAGTAGGCCTTTTTCTCACACATATTTTTCACAAATTTATGTAAATCTGTATTAGTAAGAACTTCTCCTTTGCTGTGATAATCCATCCATCTCACAGGTGTGGCATATCAAGATGCTGCTCAAACAGCATCTTGACATGATTGCACAGGTGTACTTTAGGCTGGCCACAATAAAAAGCCACTCTAAAATGGACAGTTTTACTGTAATGGGGGGTCAGAAAACCAGTCAGTATCTGGTTGTGACCACCATTTGCCTCACACAGTGCAACACATGTCCTTCACATTGAGTTGATCAGATTGTTGATTGTAGCCTGTGAAATGTTGGTCCACTCCTCTTCAATGGCTGTGCGAAGTTGTTGGATATTGTCAGGAACTGGAACACGCTGTTGTATATGCCGATCCAGAGCATCCCAAACATGCTCAATGGGTGACATGTCTGGTGAGTATGCTGGCCATGCAAGAACTGGGATGATTTCAGCTTCCAGGAATTGTGTACAGATCCTTGCAACATGGAACCATGCGTTATCATGCTGCAGCATGAGGTGACGGTTGTGGATGAATGGCACAACATTGGGCCTCAGGATCTCATCACGGTATCTTTGTTGCTTTCAACATGCCATCAATAAAATGCACCTTTGTTCGTTGTTCATAACATACACCTGCCCATACCATAATCCCATCACCCCCATTGGCCACTTGATTCACAACGTTGACATCGGCAAACCGTTCACCCACACGCTGCCATCTGCCCTGTACAGTTAAAACCAAGATTCATCCATGAAGAGAACACCTCTCCAACGTGCCATATGCCATGGAATGTGAGCATTTGCCTACTCAAGTCAGTTACGACGATGATCTGCAGTCAGGTGGAGACCCATTGAGGACAACGAGCATGCAGATGACCTTTCCTGAGACAGTTTCTGACAGTTTGTGCAGAAATGTTTATGCAAACGGATTGTTGCGACAGCTGTCCAGGTTGATGGTCTCAAGCAATCTTGGAGGTGAAGATGCTGGATGTGGGGGGTCCTGGGCAGGTGTGGTTATAGGTGGTCTGCGGTTGTGAGGCTGCTTGATTGTTCTGCCAAATTCTCTGAAATACCTTTGGAGACAGCTTCTGGTAGAGAAATGAACATTCAATTCACGGACAACAGCTCTGGTGTATATTCCTGCTGTCAGCATGCCAATTGAATGCTCCTTTAAAACTTGCAGCATCTGTGACATTGTGCTGTGTGATAAGACTGCACATTTTAGAGTGACCTTTTATTGTGGTCAACCTAAGGCATACCTGTACAATAATCCTGCTGTCTAATCAGCAACTTCACATACCACATCTGTGAGGTGGATGGATTATTTTGGCAAAAAAGTGATCTGTAACAGATTTTCACAAATGTGTGAGCAAAATGTGAGAGAATAAGGCCTTTTGTGTACAGTACATAGAAAAAAGTCAGGTCTTTGAATTCAGCTCTTGAAAAATGGGAGCAAAAGCAAAAGTGTTGCATTTATATTTTTGTTCGGTGCATTATCAGTTTAAAACTTGTTTTCTCTAGCAAGTAGTCATTATTATCCCTGCTGGAAATAAATGTTCCAGCTTTATTTTATTTATTTATTTTTCAATAACAATGGTTCATTTATGGAACATATTCAGCCACGCACATTACATGACTACTTTTTTTAGTCCACTGTGACCCTGTTTTTCTTTTTAAGCAGTATTGAGGATTTGTTTGGATTTTTTGTATGTAAATCATTAGACACTGAGTTCAGTTTGTTTCCTGTTTTATTTTGTTTATATTCTGGTTTAAAGACTTATTGTTTTCAGTTTCCTGTTCACTGACATTTGTTCCATATATTTGTTACCTTTTGCCTTCCTGTTTGGTTTGTACTAGGTCAAAACTTTGACCAAGTTAACAGGAAACATTTGCCATGTTTCATTTTGGACTACCTTCTTGAAGGAGTTTTACGATTCTTTTTCATTGTTTCACCTGCCATCTCTGTTGTTGCTACATTTCTGTCAGCAAGGTGCAAGAAATTCTGTTCTATTAGAACTGTACGAAACCTCTATCTTGTACGAATTTGGGTTTTTGAGGTACTGGTTTTCAAATTCATCGAATTTCCTTGGATAAAAGTGAAGCAATGAGGCATTTGTACATTTAAGGGAATTGACATCTTGTCTTTTTGTTTTCTTCAATCACTGTTTTTTTTTTTTTTTTTTTTTTTTTTTAGATTAAACTTGAAGCATTTCTATTATGCACCATTATTCATTTCATCCATCCATTTTCTTTACCCGCTTGTTCCATTTTGGGTCACGGGGGTCGCTGGTGCCCATGTCCAGCAATCACTGTGCGAGGGGCGGGGTACACCCTGGACGGGTCGCAAGTCCATCACAGGGACACATAGAGACAAACGAGACAAACAACCATTCACTCTCTCACTCACTCACACCTAGGGACAATTTAGAGTTACCAATCAGCCTAACATGCATGTTTTTGGTCTGTGGGAGGAAACCGGAGCACCCGGAGAAAACCCACGCATGCACGGAGAGAACATGCAAACTCCACCCAGAAGGCCCCTGGACCGGGGTTTGAACCAAGGACCTGCTCGCTGAGAGGCAGCAGCTCTACCAGTTGCGCCACCGTGCTGCCCGTTATTCATTTCAATTCAGTTTATTTATATAGCACCAAATCACAACAAAGTTGTCTCAGGACACTTTACAGAAACATTCACATACATAAAAGCCAATTAGTAAAGTTCTCTATCTAAGGAGGCCAGCAGACAAGTTGAATCTTGGCTTTGTTACAGTCTCCCATCCTGAGCAAGCGCAGTGGCAACAGTGGAAAGGAAAATTCCCTTTTTAAAAGGAAGAAACCTCCAACAGAACCAGGCTCAGGAAAAGTGTCCGTCTGCTGGTTTTTTTTTTTTTTTTTTTTGGATTAAACTTGAAGCATTTATATTATACATCATTATTCAGCTAAACAACTTATTTGTTTGTTTTATTTTGTAACCTTTTTTTTATTTTTATGAAACAAAAAAATGCATTATGTAATATTGGTCCTTGATACAACTGGTATCAAAGACCAAGGAGTTCAGTCCTTAGTACAATTCTTGAGTAATCCCTTCTTTTACTGTATAGTTTTTGTCAAATACATCAAACATTTTTGTTATTCTTAATTGGGTTTTGAGCAGTGGCTCCTCTGGCTTTTCAGGTCTGGAGTGAGTCAGAATATTTCAAATGGGAACAAGCAGTTAACTAAATGTCAGTTTGACACTTAACAAATTTAGCAAACGTCTTTATGTAAAATGCCTTTTCTATATTTTTGTCTATCAAATGGTACTTTTGTCTTTAACTTTACAGCAGTTCCGTTCAGTGCAGTATTTTATATAATTGCCTTCTGTTTTCTGTAGCTAAAGCACAGGATGGTGCTGCAATGGAAATGCAGCCTTTGAACAGTGATGAGGGAGCGGAGGCAGAGGAGAAAAAGAAAGCAAACCTGCCAAAGAAAGAAAAGTCTGTTCTCCAAGGCAAACTGACCAAACTAGCGGTACAAATTGGCAAAGCAGGTGAGTCAGACAAATACACTTGTTTCTGGCATGGATTAATACTATAAACTGCTCTTTATTTTATGTGCTTGTAGTATTAAATCCTTACATTCACTGTGGTTTTATAGTGTGCTTTTTCAGCTTTTTATTGAAAAAGAGATTCTGTATAAAAATAGTTTGATTGTACCTTGGGATTATACTAGTATGTTTGGCTTGTGTGTAATTTGACACCTTTTTGTTCCCCCTTATCTCTTAATTTTTCCAGGACTGGTTATGTCAGCCATCACTGTTATCATTCTGGTGGTGCGGTTTGTAATAGACACCTTTTGGATCCAGAATTTGCCCTGGATCCAAGACTGCACACCAGTTTACATTCAGTTCTTTGTGAAATTCTTCATCATTGGCGTCACTGTTCTTGTGGTCGCTGTTCCTGAAGGCTTACCACTTGCTGTAACAATCTCCCTGGCGTACTCCGTTAAGGTAAAGCCTGCTAAGCCTGCCATATGATCTGTGCCATGACTGACCGGCTTACATTTATGCTTATTAAAAGTAGCATGCCAGGCTGTTAAGACGTTGCTAACTGATACGCTTAAGCCTTGCAATGATCCCCTTTGTTGTTCTATTCGTTCCCAACACAGAACTTTCTAAGTAGTTATGAGCTCAAAAAATATCAAGTTGAATTTCAGTGATCAAAATACATTTTTTCTCCTTCTGCAGAAAATGATGAACGATAACAACCTCGTGCGTCACTTGGATGCCTGTGAGACCATGGGCAATGCTACAGCTATCTGCTCTGACAAGACAGGAACTCTCACCATGAACCGCATGACAGTGGTACAGGCCTTCATTGCTGAAAAGTACTACAAGAAGGTCCCAGAACCAGAAAACATTCCCTCCTCCTCTTTAGACATCCTGATTCTGGGCATTGCTGTTAACTGCGCCTACACTACTAAGATTATGGTATGAAAGAAAATAACAGTGTACTTGTAAATTGCACAGTGTTACAAGTTTATTTGGATAAATCTGATCTTTATGCTTTTTTCTCCAGCCTCCAGAAAAAGAAGGGGGTCTGCCTAATCAAGTGGGTAACAAAACCGAATGTGCCTTGCTTGGCTTTTCTCTTGACTTGAAACGTGACTACCAGGCTATTCGTAATGAGATCACTGAGGAAAAACTCTACAAAGTCTACACCTTCAACTCTGTCCGTAAATCTATGAGCACAGTGTTGAAGATGGCTGATGGCAGCTATCGGATGTTCAGCAAAGGAGCCTCAGAAATTCTCTTAAAAAAGTAAGAACTGTTTAGATTTTTTGTGCTTTTGGATTTGTTTTATTTGCTCCTGCTGGCCAGACTTTGCAGTAAATGATATGTGTAATAGCTTAATCAGCTAAGAAGTTCAAGTGCATCCCACCCAAGCCCCTTACGTTGAGACTTAAAAACAGGCGCTGAGAAAAGGAGCCAGTTACAGCTCTGTAAGCCTCTTAACCAAGCAGACTTTTTTTAACCCACAGAGGGCTTAGTGTTATTACTTATCGAATCACACTCTTTTAAATGTTTTTTTTAATTTCCTTACCTTTTTTTTAATCTAAAATTAGTTTTTTGACTTTGAGTTTGTACCCATTTGTTATTTCATCCATGTTTCTAAATTTTACACTAATTGTCTTCTTTATTCAAATATTTGGTCTTCTACACATATTTGCCTTTTATGTAGTTATATATATATATATATATATATATATATATATATATATATATATATATATATATATATAAAATTATTTTATTTTTTTTTTATTTTTTTTTTAATATGACCTTCACTTTCTTTCCAGGTGCTATAAAGTCCTGACTGCAAATGGTGAGCCAAAGGTGTTCCGCCCACGGGACAGAGATGACATGGTGAAGAAAGTGATTGAACCCATGGCCTCAGAGGGCCTGAGGACCATCTGCCTTGCATACAGAGATTTTCCTGCCTCTGATGGTGAACCTGACTGGGACAATGAAAATGATATCCTAACTGGATTGACTTGCATCTGTGTGGTGGGCATTGAGGACCCTGTTAGACTAGAGGTGTGTAGTTTCACATGGACACAAGAAAACAAGTTGAGAATTTGTCATACATAAACATCTGTTGTGTATACTAGGGCTTGTACGTTCACCAAAATACATGAATATTGTACATTCATCAATGTGGGTGCTTCCTACTGGTTAAAAAATAAGAACTTTTGTCTAAACTAGATTCACAAGTTTAGATGTCAACATCCAACAAATCTAAACCATATGGTGAGGGAAACACTTTTAAGCATTGGATATTTTAAATGTTTTAGCTCATCAAGTTGTTAAAATCACGTAGGGCTTTGCCTTTGAAATATGCTGCCAACATGTCAGAACATAGACTGCCTAGTGTCTGGTTGTGCTAAAATAGTTGGCTATATGATGTGTTTATATCTGAAGGAGAAATGGTCGCATGGAAAAAGGAATAAAAAATCCATCTGCATGACATCCTGAAAATACAGGCCAAACACATTTACAAAAACTTGAAAGTGTTCATGGAAACAGTTCACAAGATCAGGGATGAAAATAATTGTCTTGAATAAAAGGAAATGCTATCTTCTTATCTACACATCCGGCCAGGCACTGTGGGATCTAGGTGTGAATGGTAAATTGTCAGATTTTGAAGTTAGTGAAGTGGTGGCACATGGTCCCATGTCTTCAGATTACTTTTGGACAGGCAGCTGAAGAGGTTCTCTTAAGTTACTATACTGTTTGATGAGCACTTCCTACTAGGAATACTGGCAGCTCAAGGGGAGCTTCTTTCACCAGCCACACAAGCTTTTTGAACAAAGCAAGATTTGGGTGATGCACTGTCAGCCATTTTTTATCATAGTTTGAAAGTACTGGAGTATACACTTACATATTGAGTCATAAGAGGAAGTGGTCTCAGTGACACAAAAACATATTGTGTGAACGAGAAGTTGGTGATTGTTGTTGCGGTTTAACTGTCACTTTGAATTTAGATGTCCACACATTTGTGCTGTCTTTTAAGCTTGCTAGCATTGCATTAAGTTAAGAACCTTGACAATGGTGAGAGTTACAAAATTTGTCATTTTTAATTACAACTTTTTTTTGTGAAAATACAAAGTTAAGTTTTGTTTTGTCCTTGAAATCACAAATCTTGTGCAAAAATAGCATTTTCCTCTTGTGATTCCTTCAGGTCCCAGATGCCATCAGGAAGTGCCAGCATGCTGGGATCACAGTACGGATGGTGACTGGGGATAACATTAACACAGCTCGCGCCATCGCCACCAAGTGTGGCATTCTACAGCCTGGAGATGACTTCCTCTGCCTGGAGGGAAAAGAGTTCAATCGAAGGATTCGCAATGAAAAGGGAGAGGTGGGCCACAGCAAAAATCCTACTTTAGACGTGAATCCAAACTTCTCTGTTTGGATTCTATTAGAGTTTTGTTTTTTTCCATGATTTTAGATTGAACAAGAACGCATTGACAAGATTTGGCCCAAACTACGAGTACTGGCTAGGTCGTCCCCCACAGACAAACACACCTTAGTAAAAGGTACCATGTAAAACATTTAAAATTAAAAATTGTCTTAAACTTTAAAAACTTACATTTAAAAGAAGGATTTTTTCTGTTTTAGGCATTATTGACAGCACAGTAGCTGAACAGAGACAAGTGGTTGCAGTGACAGGAGATGGTACAAATGATGGTCCTGCCTTGAAGAAAGCTGACGTTGGCTTTGCAATGGTGAGTTTTATTTTCTTTAAGACTAGAAATAAACAACCTTTTGTTTTTTTTACTTTAAACATTCAGTACCATTTAGAATATCATATTAAGCTAACAGTTCAGCTAGAACATAAACAATCCCAGTAGTTAATTCTAAAAAATAATTATAAGAAATTCAGGTTGTTAGATATTTCTTCTTTTTTTTTTTACTCAGGGTATTGCTGGGACTGATGTTGCCAAGGAAGCATCTGACATCATTCTGACAGATGACAACTTCTCCAGCATTGTAAAAGCAGTAATGTGGGGCCGAAATGTTTACGACAGCATCTCCAAGTTCTTGCAGTTTCAGCTAACGGTCAATGTGGTGGCTGTCATTGTAGCGTTTACAGGAGCCTGCATCACACAGGTTAGCAGAAAAAACGAGACTAATTTGTCTTAAACTACAATGAGTTGTGTTTATGAAACTCAAACAAATAGGACAAAAGTCAAAATATTTCTCTACTTTATACTACATGAAGATTTTTGGCCATTAAGTCGTCATATCTTAGTATTTTTGTATTAAAAATGTCTGTAATGCTTACACCTTCACAGCTCAGTTTTCCAGTGACACAGAATGTTCCCACATTCTATTTGCTTCATTTCAGTTTGAATATTTGTACTAAACGCTCTGAATGTGCACAATGTTAAATATGTACTTTTCGTATGATGTTCCCTGCTACCAGGACTCTCCACTGAAAGCGGTTCAGATGTTATGGGTCAACCTCATTATGGACACGTTTGCCTCATTAGCTTTGGCCACAGAGCCCCCCACAGAATCCCTACTTCTGAGGAAGCCGTATGGCCGCAACAAGCCTCTTATATCCCGCACCATGATGAAGAATATTCTGGGTCATGGCGTGTACCAGCTAATCATCATCTTTACTCTGCTTTTTGCTGGTAGGAACATTTTTACACATCCAAAGATGTTCTTTATGTACACTGGCAGTATTGTGCTGTGATTTGTATGTCTTGTGCATTTATTAAAATTGTGACCATTGTTTAATCTTTTTTTTTTTCCTCCTGCAGGGGAGAAGATGTTTGACATTGACAACGGCAGGGACGCACCCCTCAATGCTCCACCTTCTGAACACTACACAATAGTTTTTAATACCTTTGTAATGATGCAGCTTTTTAACGAGATCAACGCCCGCAAGATCCACGGTGAAAGAAATGTTTTTGAGGGCATTTTCAACAACCCTATCTTTTGCAGTATAGTCTTTGGTACCTTTGTTATTCAGGTAAAATTATTCTTAAGACTTTTGTGGCTAGACTGTTTCTTGGTGTACAATTGGGACTTTTTTTTTTTTACCCCAAATCAAATGCTAAGAGTGGAAATTTGCTCTAAATGATTTTGACTATTTTCTCTTTCTTTTTAGATAGTTATAGTGCAGTTTGGAGGAAAACCTTTCAGCTGCGTGGCTCTGACCATTGACCAGTGGTTATGGTGCACTTTTCTAGGCTTTGGCTCCCTTTTATGGGGACAGGTATGATAAAACCGCTGTTTTTTTGTCTTTTATTTAGTGAGCTATAAAAGCATGGTGTGACACTGCCCCCCTGTGGTGGATTTTTACAGAGACAGTTTGATTACCACTGATGATAAAAGTATTTTAACCTTTATAGTTGATAAATCCTTTATTTAAATGTATTTTTAGAATTTACACTTTTAATACATATTTTTATTGTATGGTTTGATAAGTTCATTTGTATCAAAATATGTTATTTTAGAGTTATTAGAATATTATTCTCTCTTAATTCTTTTTGTTTTGGAAATTGTTTTTTTTTTTTTTAAGTTTTGCTGAAGAGTCATATTAGATTTTTGATGTGATTCTAATTTTCACCAACATTCACCACACCACAGCTGAGCTCATTATGTTCTTGTTCACTGGTTGAGTTCAGGAGGATAGACACTGACAGCATTGCTTAACAGAACACATAAACAGGCAGCACTGAGTGAAAGTTCAGGAAGCCAATGTTTGTAAAGCTAACCACTGTATATTAGTAGTTCTGATCCAGAGCCCTTAAAGTTCAGGTCTTAAATTTATACAGAAAGAAGTGGCTCACACGTAGTGTGTAGTTAGTGACTTTTTCTGTGTTGCGTGTATTTATTTTAGGATGTGGTGCATAATTTAGGCTTGAACTAGAACCTTATTCCAAGTACTTTGTTGTACTTTCAAAAGTTATTTTGAGTTAAAACAACGAATGTCCTTTTCAAACCATTTACAGATAAGTTTATCTTAATTTGTGATGTTTTAACTTAGATTTAATAAAAAAAAAAGTGTAACATCTTTTTATTTAATTAAAAAAATAATAATAATAATGTTTTTTTTGGGGGGTGGTACAATCCTTTACAATTTAATTTGATGGTTTTACTGTAAGTGGAGTCTCGCTTAAAAAAAGAAAAGTTTCCAGACACCTGAAGATGCGTTTTCAGTGTTCCACTTCGTAATGGAGACATGTCTGTTTTAAATATTCATTCACCTAAACAGGCTGCTGTGTTTCAGTTGCAATTCCTTCAAGCTTTCATTAGCCACACTTTTAAATGTTTTTCTCTTACTTTACATACAGTATGTTATTAAAATGATCTTAGTGCAGTGTGAACAGGTCCCCCCCCCCTCAAATATTGGTTAATGAGGTCAAGATCTAAAGGTTAATGTAAATGTCTTGCATCTACTGTTTAAAGAATAAAACAAAATATTTAGTCAGTTTATCTTATGTGGGCACTCGTGTCTTCCAGGTCATTTCCTCCATACCTACCAGTCGCTTAAAATTCCTGAAAACGGCAGGCCATGGCACCCAGAAGGAGGAGATCCCAGACGATGAATTGGAGGAGCTGGAAGACATGGACGAGATCGATCATGCTGAGCGGGAGCTCCGCCGAGGCCAGATTCTCTGGTTCCGAGGTCTTAATCGCATCCAAACTCAGGTAACATGCCACAGAGTTTTCTGGGTAGCACATGAAACCACACCCTCGACGCCAAGGGAATCAAAAGCCATAAACCCTTTTACTCTTTATTACTCTTCCAGATTAAAATCTGTTCTGGTTCTTCTTTCGGTATCCTTAAAAGAGCGGACTGTGCCCTAAAAGGCATTTTCTTCAATTTCTGTGCTCTGCTTCTGAGCTAAAGCAAGCCTATTTTCTGTCTGTTTTTCTGCTGTAAACCCAACTAGTTTAAAGGTACTTCATTAAAGTGAATTAGATTAAACAAATAGTCTGATAGAGTAGCTGGCTATTCAATAAGTATTAGTTTGGCTGCATAAACCTTCCATTCTTCCAGCTACACAGAAAAGAGTGAGAGGTTAGACTAAGCTCCATTCGATCAGTGCCTTTGAACCCAATCTTTTTTCTTCTCTCTCTTTTGACTTTATCAAAGTCCATTTACAAAGTGTCATTTTCTCTATGGTTACTGGTGCCTTTTCTTTATTTTTTCTCTTTTTTTTTTTTCTCTCTTGCTGTGTTTGATTTCCTCTGGGCTTTCTCCTGTCATGCTGTCTGACTCTTTGCAGATGGATGTAGTGAGTGCGTTCCAGAGTGGAACTTCCTTTCAGGGGGCTCTAAGGCGGCAAGCCTCCAACTCCAGCCAACAACAGCACGATGTAACCAATGTTTCTAGCCCTACACATGTAGCCTTTACTACTACCACTACTGCTGCCAACACCGCTTCTGCCACTGTGGGGTGTGAGTGCGTGTTCTCCTTAAGTGCATGAGACTTTTATTTTTCTTCCTCTAACATCTTTCTCTTCCACTCTTCTTCTCGCCTAACGTTTTTCAACTTTTACACTCTCATGCTTCCCTAATGTTCCCCCTTGTTTCCTTGAAGAAAAAAATAAATAAATCAGAAACGCATCTTCCATACTGCTTTTATAACTCTGCTGTATATATAAATGTACCCTGTAACCAGGTCGCTTCAAACGTCAAGGTGTTTTATCTGTGTCATCATGTTTTTTGTTCTGCTTCTGCTTCGGTCTAAGAAATGGAAATTGTTTACTGTTACCTGGGGGGGGGGATCATGTATGTTTTTGTATCTGATAAAGATTATATTCTGGATTATTGTTTACCAGGTTTGTCTGCAGCTGCCTCAGTATGCTCTGTGCCTTTGTAGGTCTTTGTCACAGCTCTCTAGTCCCTGGTCAGGTAAATGTTTTGAGTATATGCCCATGATCACGGTCCAAAGAATAAAGATTACCCATGACAAGAACTTCTGTGATGTGTCAGTGGTGAAATAACACTTTTCTTCCTGTGACTCTCTGTGGCAATTTTATGGATAATAAAATATACTGTATATGTAAGCTGCAATTGCCAAGACACAAATTTGTTATGTTTGGTTGAAAATTTGACCGTACTCTTATAAAGCCTCACAGCCTTTTTCCATTTAGGCCTTCACAGTGTCGAAAGTGGACCCGGATCATTTGTCAATGGACATTTCAAAGGCCGTTTTCTTTTCTGTGCCCCTACAAAGAATCTGTTCTTGCCGATTCCGACTCTGTTTCTCTTTTAGGTCCAACCTGAGAGTCCACCTCACCAGCAGGGGATTTTAAATGTCTTACAGATGTCACACAAACGACTAAGGAATGGATGATTGCGCTCTTGAATGTATAAACACAAGACATACTCTAAAAGTATGTCTTTAGATTTCTGTTTCAGGGTGGACCCTTTCAGTTTCTACCACGTTAATCTGTCGTCATTTTTTTCAGGTGCTTTGTAACAGTATCTTTACGCAAATACTTGTTGTTTGGCAGAACGTGTCTGTATGGTAGAACAACCAAAAAAATAAATAAAAACCACTGACTCCTCCCCACATATTCTTCTTTAGATTCTGTGAAATGTATCATGGGCTATACTCAAAGGTTTACTACCATTGAACAGAAGGTAGCGCTGCGCTCTGCATGGGTTCAAAGTCTCTGGTCTCGTTTGTGAGTTTTCTCCTCTTTGTGCTGTTTCTGACTTGTATACCAGCTTGTAGACATGCTTGGCTGCCACAGCATTTTTGTTTCTCCTCCACAAACATGAGCTGTAACTGACCACCTCTTCCTTCCTTTTCTGTCTTTTACTTGTTTCTTTCTACCTTTCTTTTCTTCCTGTTTTCCCTCTTCTCTCCTCCTGTCTCACTCTTTGTTCTTTAAGAAGCATGTCCAACGACGACGGTAAACTCTCATCCAGCTGCTGCCCTTTCTCAGTGGATTAGTTGGTTTATAAAGAACAGTCTTCTCCCAGTTGGTCCCATTTTCTTTTAAATTTGGATAATCAAATGCAGGCCTTTAGAAAATGATCCAAATAAAAAATTAATAAACATGAGATTTGTCCCTTCCCTTTTAATCTGATTTCTAAAATTGCTACATGACTTTTTTTTAAAGTTTCTATTAGATGGAAACCATTTTGAATTTGGACTAGCTCTCCAGAGGTATGCAGTTTTAGTCTCGGACATTATTGCAAACATTAAACATTGTATGTCCAGTTTTTGTTTTTCCTAATAATTAGAAGGAAGTATCTAGTACTTAAAGAAGAATCGACCAAATGCTGCAATAAAAACTGGTAATAGAAGAACTTGTATTTTGTGACGCAATGGAAACAAACAAAAAAAAAGTCAATTCCACTAAATATTTCTTCTGTTCTAATTAAAAAAAACCAACCTACAACCAGTTTTTTTTCCACTAACGGTCTTGGGTGAGAAGAACTAAACAATGGATCACTTATAGCGTTGAATTTTGCTAGAAGTGCAAGCTCACATGCACGTGTTTGAGAATATCTTCTGTCCGATTGTTGGTTTTGAAGCCACTAAAACCCTCCTGGCACTGACCTGATAAAACCTGAGTTTGAATTTGTGGCTTGATCTGATCGTTGGCTTGAAGTGTGTGTCATTACCTAACGTGATTAAAGATGTCCTTGTCCCCGTTTCTCCATCCTTTCAGATCCGGGTGGTGAAAGCATTCCGCAGCTCCATCTCCCTCTATGAGGGGCTGGAGAAACCCGAGTCGAGATCATCCATTCACAACTTCATGACCCACCCCGAGTTTCGAATAGAGGACTCTGAGCCCCAGATTCCCCTCATAGACGACACCGACGCTGAGGACGATGCTCCCACCAAGCGCAACTCCGCCAGCCCACGCAACACCACACCCACTCCACCCTCGCCCACGCCGTCGCCAGCCACCACCGTTGCCCCCAACACACCGGTGTCCCTCTCCCCAAACCAGAACAATAATGCTGTGGAGAGCAGCAACCACCTTCTTCCAGAGGGCCCCAAATCAGGAACACTTTCGGCTCCGGGGAGCCCGCTACACAGTCTGGAGACCTCCCTTTGATCCAACACTGCTTTACACGTCAACACCTCCTTTCTACCCGCCACCAAGGAGTCTGGCTCAGACTGAAGGGACAAACATGTGGAGAGACGATACGAAGGGCTAGACGGAGAGCAGAGTCCTGTTAGAGCTTGGCTTGGGCTGAACTGAAATAACAGCAAACATTCAGAGGAATGTACGGCTTGATGTGGATTCTTTGGTCTTTGTTTTTCTCATTAATATCCTGCTGCAACACAAGGACTCTGTCTGCACCCCTCCCACCTTGGTAACATTAGTTTGTTCTAGGTTCCAAGGGGTGATCATAAACTCGGATTGAAAGTGACCTGTTTTTAGCACTAATATTATTGCTATTCTTTGAATTGAGAAGGGGAAGTCCTCTTCTGTGCATGAGGACCGTCTATAAGATTATGAACGAACCTTTAGCTTCTCTTATCTGAATGGTGAATATTTATCTCTTTGGCCCTTGCTCATTCAAGACTTATTTCTGCTCCATTGGCTGTTAATATTTTGAGTTATTTATGTTTTTGGAAAAAAGCAGGTCTGTTTACAAAGTTTGTAGATACTTTTTTTCTGTTTGTAGGCAAAAGAGCTTCCTGATGTATATTGCAGACAACTGGGTCAGATTATAAATGAATGAGTGGGTTATTTCAGATACTGCTGTATTTTCAGGAAAAAAGGGTGTTTCTATTGAAACTTAACTATTTTTGCCTGCAAGTTTGATTTGTTATATATTTGTAGATAAATATCGAACCTTCAGCCAAACTGATAAACTCAAAGGCTTGTATAGAAAAGAGGTCCAAGGGACAATGTGTTTTCACAGGAGAGACGGGAAGACAAATAATGGCCTCTGTCCACTAACATCACTATATAAATATTTACTTCTTCCATATGTTGAATAGTTTTCATGTGCACAAAACCTTCTGGATTTCTAGATTCTCTTTTAATTCATTATGACGTGTTCAAGAATTTCCACATGTTGAAAGACTTTTTTTTTTTTTAAGGGATTTTGGAAAATATCTGGGCCTGTACTTAGCAAGCATCTCACTCAGTGAACGTTGGGGAAGAAACAAACTTACCTCGGACAGATGTGGGGGGACCTTCTGAAGCCTCCTGCCACTGCTTTCAGCAAGAATAGGTTCTCCTTTGAAATTTGTGTATCCTTAAAGGAAAAGCATCCCTTTGGATTTACTAGTTTTTTTCCAGAAGTGGCTGATTTATTTAAGCAGTTTAAACCGCTTCACTCAAAGACGTATGAAAAGCTCACTTTAAAGCTTTAAAACTATAACTTTTTGTAATCACTTGAGTTCAAACTGGCGTTGTATTGTGAGCTGCTCAGCCACTGCACCTATTTTCAGTAAGATGTTCATATAAACTAAACATGAATGTGCCTTGGCTACAATAATTTAGATGATCCTGGTCCCATCATTCACCACCTTCAGGAAACTCTTTACAGATGAAGCGCTCTTGTTATTTCTACAGCTAAAAGCAGGACCAAATCAGCTCTTTTAAAACATTTTGGGTGGGAGAGGACACATTTCCTTCCCTTTTGGATGCTTGATAAATATGGATCCTGGTCATCATTTCAAATTCTTTCTTTCTCTTATTTTTATTTATTTTCTCCCAAACTATTAACCCCCCTGCCAATGTGCAATACTGACATTTATTTACTCAGGCAAAAGCTAAATAAACGTAAAAGGAATCCATAAAAACAACTTCTTCAGTCTCTTCTTTGTGTGTTTAGGTAGCAAAATATTGTCTTGAGCAAAAAGAAAGTGAACAATTGTCACATTTCATTTTCTTTATGCTTGGGGAAATGTTCAAATTTCTTGTTCTTGGAGTTTCTAAAAACTGAAAACCAGAAGGGAAAATAAGCTTTTTTTCTTCTTCTGAAGCCTGTTCATAAGATTCCTTTCACTCTTAATAAATGTCTGCATTTGGTTTGTTTGTAAAATATTTTTTGAAACCTGATGTACTGGAAACGCTACAAATTGATGTTGTTTTTTTTTTTTTTTGAGAATAGAAACTAGGCATACACTGGTATCTATCTGCACAGGGTACTTTATTTCATAGTGTTCCTTGGGAGAAACAGAATTTTGATACAAATCGAAATATACCTTTGTATTTTTATGACTACACTGATGAGATCTTTCATCGTACAAAAAGCTGTTGTGGATTATTAGACACTAATATTACATGTGGGGGGGAAGGGGGGGTTCTGGCCACTAAAATGCATTTTGCTCTGGACTACTCATCTCAGGGTGCAAACGATGTGAAAGAACAGGCCTTTTGGTTTGTAAAGTAACAGTTAAATTATAGACGGTGCTCGCCAACCACACGGGGTAACTCTGGCAGCGGGCTGCGAATTCTTCGTGCAGTCACACGGCTGGCTTCACCTGACAGGCCATGGGAGGAAGTGGAATTCTTTTTGTCACAACTTATTCTGTGTAAATATTTTGCTTTCCTTGTTTTACAGTTGACAGAATAGCGGCTAGGATTGCCTACGAAGCGAGAAGATTGAAGTCATGAAAGGAATCCGTGTGAGGAGTTCGTTCTGTAGCTTTCTTCCTGTTACGGGAATGAATGTTTTTCCATCTGTTTTATGGGTTATTTTTTATCTTTTAACATTTGGAAATAAAAAAATACTTCATGTCTGTTTATCTTGAGCATTTTAAATGGTTATTGTGATTGGATTTACATTTGAAACTTGTTGAGTAATGTGTATGGTTTTTAAAAATAAAAAAATGTATTTAGCCTACCTGCAGGGCCAAGGTTGTTCATTATAGTTAATAATTCATGGTTTTCCAGCACGTCTTCCATGGAGGAAGCGGAGTCGGGGGACTTTGGGGTTGGTCTATCCATAACCGTGGCTTAGGTTGCCATGGTAGTTAAAAAGCGTTGTGGCAGCAGGGCTCCGGAAGTGGATTAGATCGCCCTGATTTCCTTAAGGCTCTGGATGTTGTGGGGCTGTCTTGTTTGACATGCCTTTGCAATGTCACGTGGACATCGGGGGCAGTGCCACTGAATTGGCAGACTGGGGTGGTGGTTCCCCTCTTCAAAAAGGGGGACTGGAGGGTGTGCTCCATTTACAGGGGCATCACTCTCCTTAGCCTCCCTGGTAAGGTCTATTCAGGGGTACTGGAGAAGCGAGTCCGATCGTTGGTCGAACCTGAGATCCAGGAGGAACAATGTGGGTTCTGTCCTGGCCGTGGAACACTGGATCAGCTCTTTACCCTCACTACGGTTCTTGAGGGGTCATGGGAGTTTGCCCATCCAGTCTGTATGTGTTTTGTGGACTTGGAGAAGGCATTTGACCGTGTTCCTCGGGGTACATTGTGGGGAGTGATCCATGAGTATGGGATTGGGGGCCAATTGGTACGGGCTGTTCAGTCCCTATACAAGCGGTGCGAGAGTTTGGTTCGCATTGCTGGCAGTAAGTCTGACGCCTTCAGGGTGGGAGTTGGACTCAGCCAGGGCTGCCCATTGTCGCCGATTCTGTTCATAACTTTTATGGACAGAATTTCTCTGTGCAACTGGGGGTGAAGATATTCCAGTTTGCTGGCCTCAGGATTCCATCTCTGCTCTTTGCAGATGTGGTCCTGTTGGCATCATCGTGCTGTGATCTTCAGCTCTCACTGGAGCGGTTCACAGCCGAGTGTGAGGCGGCTGGGATGAGATTCAGCACCTCCACATCTGAGGCCATGGTCCTCAACTGGAAAAAGGTGGACTGCTCTTCAGGTTGAGGGTGAGTTCTGCCTCAAGTGGAGGAGTTCAAGTATCTCGGGGTTTTGGTCACGAGCGAGGGAAGAATGGAGCGTGACATTGGCAGACGGATTGGTGTAGCGTCTGCAGATTGCGGACTCTGTGCCGGTCCGTTGTGGTGAAGAGAGAGCTGAGCTGTAAGGCAAAGGTCTACGTTCCTACCCTTGCCTATGGTCACAAACTCTGGGTAGTGACCGAAAGAACGAGATTACAGATAAAGGCGGTTGAAATGAGTTTCCTCCACCGAGTAGCTGAACTCTCCCATAGAGATAGGGTGATAAGTTCAGTTATCCGGGAGAGACTCAGCGTAGAACCACTGCTCCTCCACGAGAGGAGCCACTTGAGGTGGTTCAGACATCTGGTAAGGATGCTCCCTGGGCGCCTCCCTAGGGAGGTGTTTCAGACATGTCCAATTGGAAGGAGACCGTGGGGAAGACAGGACACGCTAGAGAGACTATGTCTCTCGGTTGGCCTGGGAACATCTTAATCCTTCCAGAAGAGCTGGAAGAAATGGCTGTGGAAAGAGATGTCTGGACCTCCCTGCTCAAGCTGCTGCCCCTGCGACCCGACTGGGAATAAGCGGTAGATAATGGATGGATGGAATTTATGGTTGTGAAGCAAAATATGTGCTTGGAGTGTCCCACAAAACCATTACCAACCTTCAGATTGTATCTTTTTAATAAAACTGCTGCTTTAGAGTTAAATATTGTTCTGATTTGTGTACTTTATTTGAATGACTGCTAATAGTGAATATTTTTCAAAACTTCTCTTTGTGATGAGAGTGCTTTTTTTTTCAGTCATAAGTGGCATGCTCAAGGTGAGTAAAACATTTACACTTTGCCTGTCTAACAAAGGTTAATGGACATCTGTGCAGGCTGGTGATGAATATTAAACTGCAAATTTCTTTAGGGATTATTTGGCCCAGCTGCTGAAACATCTTGAAAGACCTAACACATGAAAAAATATGCAAGTGTTTTTTTCCTTAAATTTTGTGGGCTTTTGTTTTCTTAACCCAATAAAAATGGATTTTAAATCTGAAAATCTGCTGGACTTAAGGCATTAATGTACCAACACACTTGAATATGATTCTAATGTAGTGTTTGCATGTGATTCTAAAAGCATAAATAACTGACAAACCATCATAAATTGGATTTATGGCGCAGCGTAAGTACCCATCCAGCTGTAAGATCCTCAAGTTTTTCTCTAGAACACTTTTATGAGTTGCTGTATGCTTTCAACCCCAAATTGTAATATATTTATGAATATGCTTTATATGTGGTACGAGGTTCATCTTTTAAATTTGAGGCTTATGCGTGTGCAAAAGTACTGTTAATGTGGCGACATCTAATTTTAAAATTGAATCTTTGGTTGATTTTAGAATAATTAAACATTTGTTTATGAAACACTAATGTTTTACATAAACTTTCAAAGACATATTTTAAACAACTGTCTCACACTAAAGGGACATGGTCTAAAAAATACTATACTAAACTTGCAATATGACATTTGCTTAAATTGCAGAAACAGTTTTAAATTTGGATTGTTTTACATTTGGGAAATTCAGTCGCTAAAAGGTTCCACTTTTATAAACTATTAATTTGAATGTCTTATGAGAATTTCTTTGAATCTACAAACTGATGACCTGATGTTCCACCACAGGTAAGATGCTGACTACTTGCAATTCTAGATATTAGGATACAGTAGTTTCATATACCTTGCACAGTGATTACTGGACATGGGCACCAGCGACCCCCGCGACCCAAAATGGAAGAAGCAGGTAAAAGATAATGGATGGATGGATGGATGGATAGTTTCATATATTAGTTGATTTGCTGGCATTTTTATAATATCAGAAAACATAAAAGATGTCCAGCTTTCATTTGTGATAATAGCCTAAAGACTCCAGAAAAAGTGACCTTGAAATTAAAAGCAAAATGTTTTTTTTTTCTTTTCATGCTATGACATTTGACTTTTATGCATAGTGTTTATACATGCATTATCTTTACCCGCTTATTCCTTAATTTCAAATAAAATGCAAAATATAAATTACCAAGAAAGCGAACGAGGAATTAAACCCAAATGATATGTTGGATGTACAGTACAGTAATCTTCAATCTTGAAAGTTTATACACATCCAGGCCAGCAGGTGGCAGTAAACGTCTTATTCGCATATGACAATTTTCAAAGATCGTATAATTTTAAAGATGCACTACTCGGAGTTACGTGGCTGTAACTTTTCCATCCTGCTAAGATCAAAGTTTTTCGGCGACGGAAACAAACAAAGTAAGACGTCTTCTTTTATTTTTCTTTCTCGTAGTGTCTGGTCACTCTACAGGAATTTCCTCTGAGGGTCCTGAACAGCGGGATGAAGGTTTGCTAATTACGAGGGAACATTTTTGTAAGTTTGTCGATTGTTTGTTACGCCAACATATCTCAGAATAGGTTATCGGTCGTTTTTAGCTAACTTTTACGCCTTTTTAAGCGTTTATCTTTGTCGTTCCGTGTTTTATATCACTTCTGTTTCTTGGTTTCTCACACCTGTGTGCGGCGGCTAAACGAGTCTTTAATCGTCGGGTCTTGCTTGTCCCCCAGAGGCAGGAATGAGACCCCCCCGCCGCTGAGCTGAAGATGAGAGAGTGGTGGGTTCATGTGGGTTTAATCTGCATCCCACTGGTGGCCGTGTACCTGCACATCCCGCCCCCCCAGCTCTCACCTGCCCTGCAGAAGTGGCACAGTTCCGGGGAGGTCTTCCTCTTCAGAGGGAGGAAGATCTTCTACAGAGGTGAGCAGTACGTGAGAGAAAGCATGCAGATGTTTTTGCTCTGTTCATCTCTCTAACCTTCCTCCTGCTCCTCAGACTCTTATGGTGCTTTGGGCAGCTCGGATGTGGTTATTCTCCTTCACGGCTTCCCCACCTCCAGCTACGACTGGAACAAGGTATCCACTGCATATATTCAGCTACTTATATACAGGGGTGCACCGATTTGCAGTTTTCTGGCCGATCACCGATTTCTAAAAAGTCTGACCTGCCGATTCCGATTTTGTTTTATAAGCGACACTGTCAGGTGTTATAAGGTCACAATGCACCTTCACTTTCCCAATATTATTTTATTGAAAAACACACACTTGAACAATGTCCTAGAAACAATATAAACTTAACTGGCCATGAGGTAGTGCAAATCTGTAATATAAATAAAGTTCAGACAATTGTTGTTAAAACTCAGAAAATCGGTAAAATCAGTTTCTCATGCAAGTATCGGCCGATTTCCCAAAATTAAGGATATCAGGGCAAATCGGTCGGCCGATTTATCGGTGCACCCCTATTATATACCAGAGCTTTTCTGTATACATAAACCTCTTTTTGCTCATGCAGATCTGGGATCCACTGACTTTACACTTTCATCGAGTCATTGCACTGGACTTCCTCGGTTTTGGCTTCAGTGACAAACCAGTGAGTAATAGACCATCTAAATTTAAGTGTCCTGCTTATTTATTCAGTTTTTTTGCACATGCTCACAAACAACTCCTGTCCTGTGCGGAAAACACTTTGCAGAGGCCCCACAGATACTCTATTTTCGAGCAGGCCAGTATAGTGGAGGCCCTGGTGTTCCATTTGGGTCTGAGCAACCAGCGGGTCAATCTTATATCCCATGACTATGGAGACACTGTAGCCTTGGAGCTGCTCTACAGGTACTATTTTATTCAAGATGTCAGAACACGTGTAAACGATTCAGTGCTAATCATGAACATCCTTTTCTCTTTCTTTTATTTCCTGAACCAGAGGGGATCAAAATCGCACAGGACACCTGGTCTTGAACAGCCTCTGTCTTTCAAATGGAGGTACGATGTTTTACGTCTGGTTTGGTTGAGGGTAGCTGCTAACGTTTGTTTGTGTGAAGCGCTCCGGCCGGGGGCCGGATTTCCGGCTTGAGAGCAAGACAGCCCGCCGATCCGCCTCAACTTAATTTTAGTTTATAGACAGAGATTACATCCAATCACAATGAAGCTTGCTTTGTCTTGACCAATTAGTAACAACAAGGTGGGTCGTAGAAAAGCAGGCGTATGTATGCGGCGTCGTGATCAAATCAAATGCAGAAGATGGAGTTTGGGACATTTCTGCTGGGCTGGAGTGTAGTGCGCATGCTGTTGCTGGAACATCCACTCCACTGATTGAGCAATGTCTCCTCATTGTACTTTTAATAAATAGTCCAAAAAAAAAAGCGCAATGACTTTGGACTTTTAGGGGTGGAGATTTGAGTTGGGGGGGAGGGGGGCGCTAGGACGTTTGGCAGAATCAGAGCTGCTCTATTCACAGGCTTTTCTTCTTGCTCTGTAAAATAGTAATTTCAATTCAACCTTTATTTATACAGGTTGTTAGTCTCATTGAACCTTGAGGACTCATTTACAAGAGAGACCGGTTTTTAATCAATTTAATCAAATGTTCACAAATGTAGGTCAACAAAGATGTTTAACAACATGTTAAAATACACCAAAATGCAGGAAATGGCATCTCTTTTATTCCAAATTTTCTGAGGAGGACCCACAGACCGCCTCCCCTCGCCCCCACCCAGACCGCCCACTATTTGTGTTTTGGCATCAATCAGTTTACAAATTAAGCCCTGGTCATCATCCATCATGTTTATTTGTAGTTTAAAATACCTAATTAAAACTCCAGTAATGGGCTAGGTCTACTGAATTCGTGGGGTCAAGAGACAAACATGTAGCATTAACACAGTATGAACAACATTCAGGAATTGTTTCTATAAGAACATTATCAAATATTTTACGTGAATGGTAAGATTGCTTTGCCCACAAGGAAATGTAACCCAGGATGAGCTAACCTCGGACAAACTAACAAACAATGGCTGTAATGGTGGAGGTAGTGAAGCTCACGGCTTTACCTGAGGTATTTAGTAAGGCATTTATTTCTTATCGACCAACATTAAGGCAAAGAAGACAGGAAAAAAGTCTAAGCTACTAATAACTTAAAATAGTTACTGCAGTGGATGTTTTCATGCCGGAGATCGACACACAGGACAAGAACTCACAGTGAAATTCAGCAGTAAGAGTAAATTTTACATTACACAACCGATTTAACACTTTGTTAAAGCTAAACTGTCTAAACTTGTGCAACCAGAAGTTGCAACATATATCTACATATAAAACACAAAACAAAACACAACTAGCTTTAAGCATTAACCTTTAATTTAACCATTAAGCCATACAATGTACCGTAATTATGACAGAAAATGGAGGTTCTTTTTCTAACTTCGTTCGGTGTTTCACTATGGGAAATGCTCCAGCGTGACCATCTACGGAAGCTCCAATGGCATAGCGTCTGTCAAAGACAGGCCGGTTGAGCTGTGCTCAGGGCTCCGCCCCCACCATGACACCACAGTCAACCGACCACCTCCTACTAGGAATGCGCGATATATATGGTATACGGTAGAAACGAAAGAAATTTAGCCTACGATAGAGATATGACTTCTATCGGCTAACCGCAGTAATGCTGTGTCTGATGTAAAATCAGGGTTGTCAGTTTAATCGTTACTTTTTTTTTAGTTGAAAACTGTGCATAAGTGGTGTTCAAGTGTAAAATCAGAGTTGTCAGATTTAATTGTTACTTTTTTTGAGCTGAAAAATACGCAAGTGGCGTTAAAGTCTTTTCTTTGAGAGCTAAGTAGTGAAGCTACAAGCTAACTACAGCTGGCTTGCCATAGTGTTGTCGTATTCTGACGCATGCGCAAAATGCTGTTTTGTCGAAAAAATATATATATATATTTTTTCCCCATCAAAAGTTAAAGTAAGCGTTGGTCAGCTTTAGAGAAACCTGCTCTCTGATTTGTTAAAATAATGCTGTGTTGTGTGATTTTTACTGCGAGACTCTCTGGCCAAAGTCACAGATTAATTTTGTGTCAGCTCTCCATTAAAGCGGAAGGAGGCGCCCACTAGAGGGTTGGAGGGTGAAGTGTTTCAGTGTAAAATGCTGCTCTGTTGCTGTTCATTTCGTAAGTGAGAAGACTGGAAACTGTTAAGAGTTAACAACATATTTTTTTGTTTAAAACATATGGCTAAAATTACATTTTGATATATTTTGCACTGTTTTGCACTACAAGAAAGAAGCCCAATACTTGATTTGTTTATTATTTAAAAACTCTCTGGACCTAGTAATGGAATTTTCTTAATTCAAAATATATAATGGCAAAAAGACATCCTATGCTTTTTTTTAGCAAGTTTTATACCAAAAACATATTGTGATAAATATCGTTATCGCCACCCTTCACAATACATATCGTGATATGAATTTTATGCCATATCACACATTCCTACCTCCTACTCATTCTCACTTTCTTCTCGTGAGAAACTACAACAAGCTCCCTCAGCACAGTCAGGCTAGCTAGGTTAGCTGCTAAACAGTTCCCAGGCGTCCCGTAAAGGAGTACGTCACTGAATGCAGTTCCTGGTGTCAGCTCGAACCGTGTTGAGTAAGATGGTGCTTTGCAAGAAGTAACTGTTACATTTTGGAGCGGTGACCGCGTCAAGGCGAGCTGTTCCCACCGCTCAGTTTTTAACTAATCAAGTGGTTGCAAGTGTAACGCAAGTGTAACACAATCTAACATGTCAATGTGAGCTAGCTTTCCTTAGAGGTAGCATTAGCTTGGTATCTTTAGAGGTTTTCCATTACAGCTAACGTGTTATGATGAGCGTTTTTTAGCCTAGCTGTTAGCCCGGTTTTAACCCCTCGGCTAGCTTTAGCGACAAACAGTTAACGTGTCATGGCGAACTAGTTCCCTTATCATTATGGCTACGGCACCCACCCCCACCAAAGTGTCGGAACCTAAGGCCAAAGAGGCTGTATCCTGCCCGTGCCCCTCGTCATACGGAGCCTCCATTTCGGGCAGGGACTCTCACCCAATGTGCATAATATGCATGGGCGCTAAACACGCACAAACGTCACTGGCAAACCCTCAGGCATGTCTGCACTGCTCCTCCATGACAGAAAAATCCTAGAAAGGAGGCTGAGAGTGGCAGTCATGAACAGCCAGAACCCATGCCTGTCTGCAACCGCGATAACAGGTGACAGCCATCAGCCGCGAGCCACCATGTGCTGGGCGAACATGATGGAAGAAGAGTCCCCGGTCAAGCCGCCACTCTTCAATGGACTGGTAGATGGAGGGGACTTTGAAACATGTCAGGAGGAGACGGAGGGCGACGCTAACTCCAACCTCCTCAACATGGACGAGATGGAGGAAGAGGAGGATGACTCTACTTTCCCGGTCCCACACTCGAGGCCACCCAGTGTGGCTGGTGCTGCACCTCTGGTGGACAGTGACCTGTATGATGTCTGCAGAAGAGCAGCATTCAAGCTGAACATCCCCTGGCCTGCAACCCAAGACGCAGTGGGGGCAGAACGAGATCAGTATGATGGTAAGAGGCTCCCACCAGCCTCCACGCCAAACAAACAGCTTTTACCAGCTGTCCCAGCTTGTATGAGGGAAATGAGCCTTTACTGATCAAGCCCTTTTCGGAGCAGGCTCCTCACCAAGGGCTGCTCCAAGCTGGAAATACAGGGATGGAGGAGTTGGGGCTGACCAAATCCCCAGCGGTGGAGCCCTCAGTGGTGTACCACCTCCACCCCAACCGCAGGTCAGTTTCAGCCTCTACTAATATTTCTTTCCAAGCTAAATTGGACCGCCTCACGGCGTCGATTTATCAGAGAATGTACACATATGCTGGACAGTCTGTGTGTTCTCTTAATGCTGTCACACTGTTGTCAGCATATCAAGCAGAGATCCTGGAGGAGATGGGCTGCCAGCTGGACTCGGGGTCACCTAACCCCGCACTGTGGGATGAAATTTGTGTTGTTAATTATCTCATCCAGAGAAGCTGTCCAGGGCAGCGGTCACGTCATGGGACTTGCTGTTGCAGGAGAAAGAGTCCTGCGGCTGAACCTGTCAGGCCTGGGGGACTCCCAGAAAGCAGAGGTGATGGACGCAGCCTACGACCCGACCAAAGGTCTTTTCGGCCCAGCCTTGGAGAAGATGAGGGAGACGATCACCCTTAGAAAACAGGAGGGTGAGGCTTTTAACCTCTGCTTGCCATGCAAATTGAACCCCCACCTGGCTCAGGGTTCAAGACCCGGGTTTGCAGCAGCTGCGGCGGCAGCAAGGGGGTGGCAGGGTGACTCTAGCACACCCAGACAAGTAGCTGGTCCCCCAAACCAGCAAAATAAAGGGGAAAACCCAAGGCCTTGGGGCAAGCACTCCTTCGCAGCAGCAGCTGCCAGGAAACGTCCATCCCACCCCAGCGAGGGCAAGAAAAAGCGGGCGTCCTAACAACTCCACCTTTTCCACCTCCAGAGAAAAGGAGAAAAATTGGCAGAAGAGGAAACCTGCCTGTCTTCACACACTCCTGCAGTTCCCAGTTCAGCAGAAGTTCAGTTTGTTCAGCCCTTTCATGTTCAGAAAAAGGAGACTGTGAGGCAGAAAACAGTGTCGCCAAGCACTGAATGTACATCACGCACTCAAAAGCACTCACTCAGTGTCACCAAACACTCACCAGTGCCCCAAGATGCCTCATTTTGTTCAGGGGGAAACAATAAATATGAATGCATTTCTGCTGCCAGGCAAGTTGCTAAGGGCAGAATGCACCCCACAAAAAAAACAAAAACATGAAACTTTGTATAAGGTCTTGCCCAACAGAGAGCGCTCCTGCTCTTTCAATGCGGAGACCTGTTGTGGCACGAGTGTGACATCACTCTGCTGCGACGCAGGAGGACCGCTCTCGGAGCAAATGGGAAAGTGGGGTGCATGCGCAGTTTCACCATGGGTTATGACCAC